TTTTTTTTTTTTTTTTTTTTTTTTTAAATCGGCAGTTCCCATTAATGTTAATAGGAACTATTCTTCAGATCTTTCGGACCATTTGTCAAGGTAATCGTGCTTTCGAACTGTCTAACCATTAGCAGGCAGATGCGTGATGTGACTGATGAAAGGAAAAGAGAACAGAAGAGAAGTATTGCCGGTGGAAAGGTGTCATGTGACGTGTAGAATAATCGATAAGCACCGTCTGATCGGAAATCTGGCATGGGCCGGCACCCAGGGACTCAGAGTCCTCTCCATTCCTAGCGATTCGCACCGCTACTACTATGGTATTAATATTTGACACACATCATTCGGTTTTACTGCCGGCATAAATGCGTCGGATAGGCTCGTGCGTGCATCGTGTATCACCGGAAATGTGATTCGCTCGGGAATCGATAGATGTTGGATACGTCAGCGGTCAAGAGAACTGGCACCGTGAATACATATGCGTCATTTTCGTCATTCGAAGGCCGTTTTCAATGATCGTTATACGAAGCATGTATACTATTGCATGCGATTGTACGTGATAGTTCATTGACGCGTAATGGCCACTGCATATAGAAAAGTTTCACGCTTTGATAAATTCTGTACGTACAGAACCATCCAGAACAGTTTTGCTCGACCATTTTGAGCTAAGTTCCATTTTTCAGACTGCAAGTTGGTAAATTAGTGTAAAAGTTGTAATTTCCCTTTCAATAACTCGTAATGATTGTGAATCGTTTGTTCTTGCTAGTGCTGGAATTTCATATTTGATTAAAAATTTCTTCGAATGCAGAACATTCTGGGGAAATTAAGTAGCGGACGTGGCCGCGGGCAATCGTGCTCAATTCGAGAAAATAATTAATTCTCTTTGTTAGCGGCACATCTGCCGGAAATCGCGAAGCACGTGGTTATGACAGCTGGATTTCATCAAAATTCTCCAGTTTCGTACCTCGATTTCATCGGATGCACGAACATTCTTCGATCTTTACCTCAGCCGGTCATATTTGAAATGGCAGTTAGATCGATGCTAAATTATGTCATCATTTGTCACCAAGCTCGTCCTTCGTTCATATTTACGATAGCTTCGCCGCAAATTGCTCCGGCTGAATAAACGATAAAACTCCATCGTTATTAATAGGCGTCTGCGTTTTTTTGCCTCTGCTTATTTTTCGATATTATCGCCGGAACAAGAATAGAAAACGTTCATTCGGTAATGGTACCAGATGGGACAGCGGACACTTTTGCCAACGGTAATCGACAAAATTCCCTGCACTTGAAACGCTCTTCTACTCCGAATAATTGCAGACGGTTCAATGGAATGATATTATTTTACTGAATTTAATCGAATTTAATCAAACACTTCCCCTGCAGCTCGTTATTACTATTAAAAAGAGAAACATTGACGTTCGAATAAAAGTTGTACTTGGAACGATATTTATTTTTTAAGGAAATTAGTTCGTCGAATCGAAAATCTAATTCATCAAACATCACTCTAAAGAAAAAAAGAAAAAACATTGATTATCATATATTTCGGTCGCGTAAGAAGGGAAAAGAATTTCCGTTTCTTCGGTCTTCTGTGTTTGTTATTACCGAAGTTTCTGATCTTGAAGTCAGACTCGTAAGTACTCTTCTTTAATGGGCGGTCCTTTGAAGCGAGACGTTACAAGGAGGAAAGGCAAAATCTCTCTTTAGTGCTTTGATGAGCAACGGAGAAAGGAAAGGTGGTATTTCGAGTCATACCGACGACCAATGTCCTGAGGAAACGACTTGGTCGAGGAGATTTAGGCCGATGACTTATGAGGGCGATCTTTTTAGGCGGATTTTGAGGCTTACGCTACTACCAGATGGGAATCAATTTTCAATTTTATTTCTATGCCCAACTGGTTCTAGTCTTTCGATTAATTTAAGAAACGTATCGTGGCTCTTGCATTTGAAATAACAATCTACTTCATGTACATTTCGATATTTTAACATAAAGAAACAAGTGGAAAATATAAAATAAAATTGTTGCATTTAAAGCTTTGCTTTGAGAAAATCGAGTTCGAATATTTGTTAAAGACATAATAGAAAGAAAAAATACTAATATAAGGTTAATCTACGTGCAAAATCAAGAATGTATCAAAAATGTAGAATATTTTTTTGTAAAATGCTTCCTCTTCGGAAAAATCGAACGTGAAAATGTATTGAATACAAAACAATTTGTAACGAAACATATTCAAAATCTATTTTCGTGAAAATGAACCTTTAACTGAAAAGATTTAATTCTACATTCTCGATTTATTTCTTCACGAGGAATTACTTCCTGCCTGAAAATTATGTTTTATATATGTATTATTGCTGGAACATCCTATACAGATAATTTTCGACAGACAGCGTGTTCTTGTTTTCAAGACATGTATTTTTCTTATTTTCGAGAGAGTCCTATATTTTTCTCTGAATATATGTGAAAGAATAGAATAAATTGTTTCAATCTTTAAAGATAATATCAGACAACAGATTGATAGAAATTTATGAAATCCTTTTATTTCGTCGAATTTTAATTTCGTAATTTTAATTATCATAATTCTATAAAATAGCAAAAAAAAAAAAAATTGTACGATAAGTTTTAAGGAGAAATTTCAGTCTTGAAGACCATGGTGAATTTAATTATAAAAAGAATTTTCCAATGTTTGAATTTTTATAGTACTTTTGAAAACATTCTTACTTTTCCATTCGTATGATCTTAATATATCTTCGAAAAGAAAAGAAAAATTAACTCGACATTTTAAAAATAAAGGCTTT